CCGGCGGACAGTCTCGCTCTTCTCAGTTCCCGGGGGCCCCGGGCCCAGTCCGCAGGGCGCCCAAGTCGTGTAAATCGTTGGCGAGGGCCCGGGCGCAGCGGCGGTCATACAGGGTGGGGTCTCTTCGCGCCCCCTCCCTAGAGCCCACCTTGCTTTCCCGTTCTCCTCTCCCTGAAAACCCTTTGAGTGAAGAGTGCTGGATCGGCTCTGGGTGTGTTGCCTGGCGAAGCGAGTTGTAGCCCTTCGAGACCGCCTCGTAGAACATGCCGGATGGCAACCTCTCCCCGTGATAGCATAGCTTTTAGGGAGAGAGGAAAAGTAGTCTCACTCTCCCCCGACTCCCCCAGGCTTATAACACAAGAGGCTTCGGGGCAGGACGATTTTTTCCCCCAGCCCCTCAATATCCATTGTTTTTGTACCATCCCCCTCCCCCCATGCCTAGGTGGAAGAGTAATGACTCCAAAGCATTAATTTGCCTTTCTTTCTCTTTATTTCTTTTCTTTCTTTTTCCTCTTTCTTTGTTTTTCTCTTCTTCCCTCCTTTCTTTCAGCAGGCAGTTTGTGTTATTGTGGAATTATGGATTTACAAACAGGTGGGATAAATACCGATTCGGGAGCTAGAAAGAAGATGCTTTGTGTGTGTGTTTAAGCCCTTATAGTTGGCTGTTTGATTTTCTTGTCTGTTGCTTTGTATCGTAATGGGGGTGATGAGAATAAAAGAGGAAGCACTGTTTTGCAACCTACCCAAAGAAATATTTTCGAAGTCTCTGGGGATGCTGAAGCAAAATTAGGTTGCAAATGTGGACTGTATAGTATTTGCCTCCAGCGTGATAACTACCAGCAGTGTCTAGGCTTACACCTGTGTCATTTCGTATACTTTTCGTCGATACCGAGTGCGTCTAGTTTCTTGTCAAGAGGGACTACTATATCAAAAGCTTTTTGTTATGTTTTTCAGAATCCTAAGGTACACTTGTGTAACCAAGTGTTTTTTGTAACTAAATGCAGCAAAAACTGAAAACTAGTTTTAATTTTAAAGACCTCAGTTTATTAGTGTACTTACTAATCTTTACTCTCATCCTCCATGCCATGGGCTGTAGAACTGTTACTGTGTACTTGAAGAGACTTAGCTATGTCATCCAATTTGTAACATTCAGTAAGGTTATATTTATAATTTGAATTTATCAAGTGTTGATGTTTTGCTATGTGACAGTGAAAAGAATTTTAGGAATAAAGCATGCAAATGACCATTCTCATATGAAACTTAAATTGAGTATGATAAACCTTTTATCTATTTGGACATAAAGTATACTGTAAACTTTTTATGTAATTACAAATACCCATTTGAAAAATAGACAAAAATAAAGACAAAACTAAATAAAAGCTTCGTCTAAGATTTGTAACTTTCAAATGGCTGAAATTTAATATAAAGCCAACATATAAAACAATATTGAAATCCCAGTTTCAAATTATGGACATGTCTTTAAGGGTATGGCATTTTCCCAAGGTGCTTGTTCAGTTTTATTTTTAGTTTTTAATTTTTATGGGTACATAGTAGGTGTTTATGGGTTATATGAGATATTTTGATACAGGCATACAATGCATAATCACATTAGAGTAAATGAGGTATCCCATCATCTCAAGCATCTACCCTTTGTGATGCAAATATCCAATTATACTCTTAGTTATTTTAAAATGTACAATTAAATATATTGAGCATGGTCACCCTGTTGTGCTATCAAATACTAGATCGTATTCTTTGTGTTTTTTATATCCGTTAACCATCCCCACATTCCCCCTTCAGTTTTTGAAGAAACAGCTACATTAAAAGTTGACATTTCTGATTACTCATTATTAATATAATTTTTAAGTTTAAAAATTTTCTCATAAATTATTATGGATTAAAGAGTGATATTAAAATATACATTAGTAGTTTGCAGCTAGATCTTTTTTTTAGTTTTTAAACTACCGTATTCAGAAAGTTCATCAGAAAGATCAGAAAAACATCATCAGAGCTGTTTTTCTGGTAGTTGTAGCAAGTAAAGGTCATGCATCAACTTGTGAACTACAAGCCAGTTGGAAATTTGAAACATTTCATGTTTAAATAGAAACATGAAAATTACAAATTCCTATGTCATACTGGCTGGAATTAGGCTTTTAAAATGATACTGTTTTTTTCTGTGACTTGGGTCAGGGAAGAATGACTTTTCTCTCTCCACATCAGAGAGACATAAACTGGAATTGTATGTGGAATATTTCCAAAGATGGTTTCCGAATAGTGGTTGGTATAGTTATTGCTTTGACTTACCTGTATGAATTATGGAGGATGAGTGAATAAAGCTGAAATTCTTTATTATACAGGTGGATAAATTATAGTCATATTTGCCTTAAAAATACTCATTTTCAATATTTGTTGTATAATTTAATATTTCTGGAAGACTGTTCTTTAAACTGTTCAGATATTTTGATTTTTTTGTAAAAATATTTAAATACAAAAATCTGTGTTTTGACTAAAAGATATAAACTCTATATGTAGATATAAGGATGCATATTTTTGGAGGCTGAAGATTAAGTGAAATATATCTTTAGAATTTGGTTTACTGTATCATTCATGTATCTTTCATGTTTGGAAAAGCATAAGATTTATGCTGATAACAAAATAAGATTTAAAAAAACCCCAAACAATAACAACAAAACAAGTTAACTCACAAATCCTTCAGTGAGTTCTGAGATTTGTAGCTTGGACTTGGGAGAATTCTGCTACTTGTTTATAAAATATCAATTGATAGAGGAAATTTAAATATAAATTGGATATTTTGACATTTCTTAAGATTAGTAGGGATTGGTATTTTGCTATAGATGAATAGATGGAAACTGTAATTTAGAAGTAGAATTATACATTAAGTACTTTTATGTGATAAATGAGTACTTCAAATAGTAAGTGAGTTGATATTTTTGCTTGTTGGTAGACCTTTATTTCATGCTTTATAGGTTATGCATTAGACATATAAGTTGGCTGAATCTTAGACTAATTTATGGACGTATATCATCATCTGCTATTCTTGTAATCCCCTATTTTAACTGCTTGGCTTTCTGAATTTTGTTTCATTTACTTGTTACACTGCATCAAAGTCATGCCCTGTAGATCTTTTTTGAAATATTTTCTCTTAATATAGTAAATTTTTATGTTTTCTGACTGTCTAAACTGACTTTTAAAATCTGAATAATTTCTAAATTACAGATGACCTGTGGTATGCTTGAACTTCATATATTATAGAGTGTTTTTAAAAGTGTTTATTATTGCAGGTTGAAACATACATACATAAGTCTGAGAAACTTTTATGTTCTAAAATATGTAATTGAATTATTTTAATATAAATCAGTGTTCATTCTGATTTTGTTTGGTATTTTCCCCCGGGTCTCAACTTTTTAACACAGCATCTTTAATTCAGCAAAGCAAAATTTATACACACAAAGGGATATTCTGATTACCAAAGTTTATACACACAAAGCAAAGTTTATACACACAAAAGGATCCTTAAGCTTTTGAGATGATGGTAGCATATGTGCTTCTTGAGAAAGCATGCAGTTCCCATTATCAAGACTTAAAAGAACACTAATTCATTTTCACACTGTATATCTCATTCCAACTTCTCTAAAGGTCAGAACTGCAAAAAGTAGTACATGCTCTAAAAGCTAAGGATTCATTTATAAGAGTGAACATACTGCTTGTAGCTAAAACATTACAGGAGACCTTTAAAAAGGGTATAATTGGTCTCTGTGTGAAATGAACCTGAAATATTTTTATAAATTATTTCTGCATGACTATCTTTTGTTTATAGCACTAGGAAGACTTCTAATGTTTAAATACTTTATTTGCCCTCAATTATTATTTAAAATTCCTGTAATTTTAAGTAATTTTACAGCTGACAAAGATAAATCTTTTCTTTTAGTTTTTCTAATGTCTTGGAGGTAAAGTGGAAATTGCCTGTTCTGACACATAATTTCTACAACTTGGAGTTAATTTGATCAGTTAAATTTGTTTTTTTCAGTTTCCAGTTTTGTGTTGTATAACACTTCTTCCTGCTTTCAGTACTTTCTCAGTCTTGCAAATAGTCTTTAACTTTTCAATTTTGTTCTATAAATATTTCTCAGTAACTACAGTTTCACATTCACCAATGTCATGGAACTTCTGCTGAATGCCATGTGTGTCCCAGGCTCTCTGGATACAGAGATAAATATGTTTCCTTCTTT